AAATAGCTCAAGCCATAGTTGCAAACGGATTTGTCTTTGCGTCAGGTCAAATTCCTGTCAATCCTGAGACAAACAATGTCGTCAGCAACCATGTTCAAGAACAAGTGGTATGCAACGCGTGTGGATCAACTTTATATGACATAACCCATTATACTTTTAACTAAACATTATTTTTTACATAAAAGCGTCAGAGCCTTCGTAACCTTTCAAATGTATTGGAAGCAGCAAATTCCTCGCTTTCGCGAGTAGTCAAGACTACCGTCTATATAAAAGATATGAATGATTTTTCTGCCATCAACGAAACCTATGCTGAAGTAAGTTTTTTTTTTAATATTTATCGAAAAATTATTTTATTTAGCAAGGCGAAGAGTATTTGAGTGGTGTGCTCCTGCTCAGCAATGATTTTTTATCGACTTTTTAGATTTTTGGTGACTCCCGACCTGCCCGAGCGTGCGTTGAGGTAGCCAGGTTGCCTAAAGATGTTAAAGTTGAAATTGACGCAATTGCATTAGTGAATGAATGATTTTAATGATCGTTCTGTTAAATAATCTTTATTCATTTATATATACTGGAAATCTATATAATAAAGCTCTACCAGTGTTACTTTTGTATCAATAAATAAATAAATATCTACTCAAATGAATTTCAAATATTGTAAACGGTCCCGTGCGTGCCCGGAAACACAGCCTCCTATCCAAGCAATATTCGGTTGCATGCAAAAATAGGTCTGCCAATCAGTTATTGTCCCGTGTTGTCCCGTGTATCACAATTGAAATTTTTGATGTCAATCATATTCAGTGGGACGTAAATCGATTCCAGCGATCCTCCTCGAAAGCAAAATGGATTTCTTTAGCAGAGGATACAAAGGACTTCTTGGTGAAAAAGGACAGCACCAATCTGTGGAGGACACGATCGCAAAATTAGTTGATCGTGTTAGTAATTCTACGTTGTTAGAGGATAGACGTGCCGGCATATTAGGCCTAAAAGGTCTCTCGAGAGAATA